CTGAAATACATTGGATTTTTAGAACAAATTAGAGAACCTAATTCCCAGCTTTCAGTTTCACTAAAAGTGACAGATTTTTCCATACTACCTTTTTTTCCTTTTTTCCCTTTTTTCCCACCTTTTTTCTCAATTCTTATAAAAGGTGTTACTGGAAAGTGATGAAAGTAACAAGGAAGTGGCTGATATTTTGTATCACACAAATTAAATAATATGCTTAATTCACTTTGCAAATATATTAAATTATCAAGACGTTGAATTATTTGTTTTTGTAATAAAGGATCCTTTTGTGTGACAAAGCCACTTAGTACTTCTCGAAACCTAAAGATGAAATTTTTTATTAAATTTGTTGAATGTTACATTGTATTTGTATAAATTATATTAATTTGTCAACTTACCAATTAATGCAACATATTACTGAATCTACTGTTGAATTTTCTGCTGTGTCAAAATTCTCTGGCATTAATATTGCACAACCCAAAAGAGAGTCTATAGCATCTAAAGATCCATTTTTACTAAGTTTTATGCAACATGTTCTGAGAAGTTTAAATGAAATTGGCACGATGGCACCATACTTTTTGTTTTCAAATGTTAAAACACAATTTTGTTGTTCATTTTCTGTCTTGTTCAATCCAAACTTTGGAACTAATTCACCACTGAATAAAGTATTAGATATTATATGAAATAAATATATGATAGCATTAGAGATAATGAAAAATTATGTAAAGTTACGTACTCGTAATTATCTTTATCAATCATGCTTTCATTAATGAATTCTTCTTCAATATAGTTTGTTAAATTTTGTATAAACTCTGCATCAATTTCTTGAGTCTGCTCAATGATACGTGTCAACTGATCATAAAAAAGAGCTTTGGACCTTGGACAATTTTTCACATTATTCAGTACAGTCTCTACGAAATCAAAATGTAAATTAAATTAATATTGACAAGATACAAAAATAGAAATTTTTCATTATTGTACACTTTACATAATTAAATATTTTAAAATGCTTACTAAATAAACTATAAGCAGAATTACTAGTTTTAGCTGTTTTCATTAAATGTTTCATTGCCATAAGTGCTCCTAAGACACCTTTACACTTTATCCTAAAATTTAAAAAAAGAGAATGTTTTTAGAAACTAGATTTAGAATATTAAAATTAAGGTATACTATAATTAATTAATACGTACTGTGGTTTAAAACTAGCTAATTGTTTTTGCAAAAGTATAAATAAATCATCTCTTAAAGAATTAGATGTAGAAGTAGAGTTTGTACATAAATTTTGTAATAAATCATTTAAAGTTCCAACTTCTTCTAATTCCAAATTATCCAACTTTTCAAGCAAGATGCGAAGATGATTACAATGTGGCATTAGACA